CATTACCAACAGTCGGCCGACTGTCGGCCAACAGGTAGCCTATATTTCAGGTAAAACCTGTCGGCTGTCTGTCGGCCGACAGGTTTTTTGGGGAGCTCTTCTTCACAATTACCAAAGTGTTGACTGAATTCCAGCCCCCTCTCTTGAACACTTTCTAACTTTTCCCCATGTGACCAAATAAACCAGTCAGAGATCAAGCCATCTGAAATTTAGTCTAGGCCCTGCATCATTATTGGAAAATCAAGTCACAGCTGCCCTAATATATGATTATAATCCGGACTGGTATGCTGGTGAAAAGCCCCATTATGAAAACAAATAAACAATAAACTTAATTCTAATTTTGTGAGAGGTTAACTAAATTTCTTACCCCCGTTGTTCCAAGCCCTGTGATGGTTATGACAGATTGCCAGGTTTTTGCTGATGCTCTTGCCATTGCCTGGAAAAAGACAAGCTTCCAGTCAGGCACTCACATGCTCTTCACGTATTTCAGTAACGTGTCATTTCCAACTAGTTCCTCTACAGTCCTCCACACTCCCTTTTTCACAGCCACCTCCTTGACAATTTCATTCGCAATAGCCTTGGCTTCTGGGTTGCCAAATGTGCACATGTTTGAAAGCACTATCACCAAACTTTCCCCATTTTTTCTCGCACACGTCATACATGTCCTTTATATTTATCACTGTTTCATAAGCAACACCTTTTCTGGTGTGTCCAAATCGATCTTTTCACTAGTGTCCTTCAGGTTGGGAGAAACAGAGTATGTACATTTGGGTTTTAAAGTCTCCAATGTTTGGAGGCGTCATAACCACAGATGAAGAAGTTTGAGATATCTTATTCAGCAGTGTCAAAGGCATTTTGAGGCACCACGAGGCAGGTGGTTGTTCAGCCAATACTTTACTCTCCTCGTGTCTTGTGTCTTCTCATGGTTCTTTTGTAAGCTACTGAAATTTTCCAGAACATTTTGTGAATGTGTATAAGGACTCAGTTATGTAGTAATAGTAGTAATTGTTGTTGTCAGGAGTGATGGACTGTGTAGAAAGCTATACCATGAGAGCTATGGTAGAATATTGCTAATTTCAAGAAACGTTGGAGGAAGGAAGGAAGAAACGTTGGCTTGGTGGTGAGCTAAGATATAGACTGTAATGGGCTTAAGTAAGTTTATTGAGGATAAGTATTGTACTGCCCTTAGGAGTTGCTCCTTACTAAGATTATTACTCATTGTTTAATAAAGTAGTTGAGTTTGTAGGATTGCAGTGTTTTTCTGCCACTTAGATTATACCTTAACAAGTTATACAGAACAATGCTCAGGAGAAGAGTACCACGTTGAAAATCAGCTTTGATCACTGGTGGTGACATGGTATTTACCACACATGGTCTATCACCATTTCAAGCTTAAATATTTTCACTCTCAATAAAATGGTTTTAGAGTATTTGAAGAATAAATAAAATTAAATTTGTGTTGAATATAAAAAAAAGGTTAAAATAGCTTTTGGTTTGAAGCAAAGGTCAACAAGGACAACTTGAAGTCTTCGTTTTGGCAGTTCTCAGGTTTTGGATCTCCAGAGCTGGCATCTTCAGCGGAAATGTTGCTAAGCAAGCCACCCACTTGTTCCATCCAAGGTAGCTGTTTTCTAGTCAAGGTGTTGTGTTAACATGCTGCTTATGAATGTGTCCACATGAGATCCAAGCATTATCAAAATTTGAATCCAAGCAATATCAAAATTTGATTCCACATGGTACCCTCCAGAATTTGATACTATTTTGAGTAGATACTGGTATAAGTCCTAGTTAAAAGCCTGCCAAATATTTTCCCAAAGTCCGAACAGTTCACAAGATACAGTGGTTCGAGTGAAATGACACACAATTTTTAAGTAAAACCATGGTAAATTCGCCCATGAAGTTTACAACTTGCTCAGAGACAACTGGGTGCAGATTTAATAAAGAGTCTTTGCCAATTTCAAATGAATAGTAAATTCATTCAAGTCAATTAAATTTGAAGAGGATGCAAATATTTATTTATTTATTTATTTGTACAAGATCATCATTATAACAACACTACATACTGCAACGCAATTAATATAATCCTGAGCGGGAAGTCTCGGAAGCCTTTTTAGGCTTATCTAGGAGACTCCCTTTACTACCTGATAAGAAAAGTCTGGCAGTCAATGATTACAGATCTTATACATTGATTTACAGATTCGTGAGTAAGTTACATTGGTATTGAATATATTACTATAAACTATTCGTTAGAATATAATTTTTTAATTTTCGCTTGAAAGTCTATTTATACTGAATATTTTTTAGATCACCTGGTAAGCTGTTGTATACATCAACTCCTTTAAAACTAATTCTTAATTTCCTGAGGTTTGTTTTGACACAAGGCTTGTGTAATTTTTTGTTTGAACAAGTGTTGTGGTCGTGAACTTCTTCATTAGTCCTAAAAATATTTTTCGATGAGATAGGTAATTGATTATTTGAAAATTTTTTCATTAAGATAGCAATAGTGTAATAATTAACTTGATAAACATTCAGTATCTTCAGATTATCAAATAATGGTTTTGAGCTGTGATTGTATTCTTTGAAGGTTATTATTCGTATATTCGTATTCCTATTATTCTCGAGATGAGTCTGATATGCATTAGCCCATACAACATTGCCATAAAAATATAGGGGTAGATCAGGGCATAGTAAATTGATTTCAGTAACGATCTAGTTACAAAATTCCGCGCTTTACATAATATACCTGTTAGCCTTGATATTTTGTTTGCAACGAAATTAATGTGTTCTTTCCACTTCAGTTGGTCGTCAACTATTGTTCCAAGAAATTTTGTGCTTTTTACTTGAGTAATATAATGATCTTTGATTTTTATATTTCATTGTTTAGTTATTTTTTTGCTTGATGTTTTAAACAGCATGAAATTTGTTTTTGTAATATTAAGTGATAATTTGTTTAGTTGTAGCCACGTATTGATTTTAATTAGTTCTTCATTCATTTTATCTATCACTGTGTCTAGATTTTTATGAGACATCAACAAATTTGTTTCATCTGCAAAGAGAATGAAGGTTAATTTTTTTGAACTATTGCAGATATCATTTATATAAATTAAAAACAGTAGAGGACCTAGAACTGATCCTTGGGGAACTCCACACATTATTTCTTGTTTCTCTGATATTTCATTGTTGTATCTGACGCACTGATATCTCTGTGTTACATAATTCTTAAACCATTCTAATGCAATTCCTCTAATGCCATAGAATTCCAGCTTTTGAAGTAGTAGGCTATGATCAACTGTATCAAAGGCCTTAGACAAATCCAGAAATACCCCGATGGCAAATTCTTTGTTATCTAAAGCAGTCGTTATTTTATTGATCAGGTCAATAAGTGCGAAATTTGTTGAGTGATTTCTCCTGAATCCAAACTGATGTTCACTAAGAAGGCATATTTTGTTTAAGTAATTCAATAATCTTTTGTACATCATTTTTTCTAATATTTTAGAGAAGCAAGGTAATAAAGAAATAGGTCTGTAGTAGTTGAATTCAGAACTGTCCCCTGATTTGTATACAGGAATAACAATTGATGTTTTAAAGTCTACAGGTAGTTTGCCTTTACTGAATGTGAGATTTATAAT